AAGGGTATAGGAGGAAGAATGTGTCGCTTAGATGTGCTGTTGAGGTGGACATAATGAAGGCATTTGACAGTGTTAGACTGGGAATATCTATTGTATGTGTTTGAGGCTATGGGGTTTCCTATACAGTTTATTAAGTAGATTAACACATGCCTGGAAATCACCCACTTTTATTGTCTGTATCAATGGAAGGTTAACAAGGCACTTCCAAGCTCAGAAAGGGTTGAGACAAGGGGACCCCTTGTCCCCTTTTCTGTTTGTTATCTCAATATACTAAGCTGTATGTTGACTAGAGAAATTGAAATGAAGGTTGCCATTTCATCCATTGTGCCAGATAGGACTGTCACATATGTTTTTTATGAATGGTTTACTTTTCTTCACGAAAGGGTCAGTAGAAGGGTGCATGTGGTTGCTGACAATGTAGTAAAAAACGTGCCTTAAAACACAAAAACGCACGTTTTTACATTTCTGACTAGGCAAAATGCTTTAGTTCATGTATAAAAACTTAGCATGTGTAAAAATGTATAAAAAACGGTAAGAACGGTCGAACATGGTCCAACACGCGTTTCTACTCTGTTTTTGTACGTTTCCAGTTGGATGAATTTCAACCAATTTCACACCCTCTCTTACAACAAACCAGAAGTCAGAACATCAATCCCGACAGTGAAACCAACTTAAAATGAGTTTTAAATCAGTCCTTAAAGTTTGATGACAATCCAATGGTTGGTTTCTCCGAAAACCTCCCTGGAACCAAGTGCCCAGCTAGAGGAAAACAAGGTCGCACCTTGTGTGACTAGCAACTTTTCCCGACGAACCAGACATTATAACGAAAATCCCAATGGTCTAATCGGATAACTGAAAGTACGAAACACGTCCTCTAAATTTGAGAATGATCCAACAATGGGTGTTATTGAGATCTCCTCTTGAACTTACTATTTTGCTACAAAACAAAAATTCTCTAGCTCCTCTATTCCTCTCGTTCTTTCCTTCTTCTTTCCTTTCCAATTTCCAAGCTCTCATTCCCCATAAATTTTTTGGTTTCTTCAAGTTTTGATGTTTGTGCTGATGAGGATATGAGGAGTCGAAGATGAAAGAAATGATTGAAAAGGGGGAAGCGGAGGAGACGAATGAGGGTGCAGATTTTTGCACCTTCGTTATCTAGAAATCACTTCGCGTTCAATAGATGGAGAACCTTATAATAAGAGATTCCTTAGTAATCCTTTTTAATTTGACATCCATATTGAAATAAAACTACTGATAATGAGGTGTGGTTGTTAATTGGTTCTACTTTTTTATGAATGACGAAGTCTCATTATTTCCTTATTGCATCGCTGGTTTCATTGTACGCTTGCTCCATTATTAATAGTTTTCAAATTAGATTATTTGTATGAGTAGTGACCTTTTTAAATGAGACAGGTATTTTGTTGAAAGTTAATCAAATTATACACAAAAACTTACGCTTTTATGCTACGCTTTTACATTTTTACTCATGTTTCCACTTATGTGTAGAAACACACATTGAACTACATTGGTTACTGAAATACTGAAGCAGTTCTATTGAATCTCGGTCTTAAATGCAATCCATAGAAGAGTGAGTTCTTTTTTGTTGTTGGAGTAGAGGAGGGCCCGAAGGCTTAACTAATAATACACTCGAGGTTCCAGGAAGGCAAACTACCAGTCAGGTATCTTGGTGTCCCATTGATAGCAGGCAAGCTTAAAGTTGGTGATTCTAAAGCTTTAGTGGGTAGAATCATGAAGTGAATCACATGATGGCAGGCTCTTACCCTATCTTACGGAGGAAAGCTTCAGTTTGTGACCTGTGTTCTAACTAGTATGGCCCAATTATGGATGTTGGTTTTCCAATTACACAAAAAAGTAACCAAGGGGATAAAGAAGCAGTGTTCTACATTCCTTTGGGGGCCAAAAAAAGGGAAAGCAAAAGTTACATTAAAGATTGGGGCCTTGCCAAAGAAGGAGGGAGGGCTAGGGTTCAAGGATCTGTACAGTTGGAACAAAGCATACCTAGTAAAGCGACTATGGAATGTTCTATCTTACCAGGAAACCATATGGATAGGTTGGCTTAAAGAATATAGGTTGAGGAATGTCAATATATGGGAATCTTATACTCCAAGTGCTTGGTTGTGGAATAAAGTGTTGAAGTTGAGGAGTCAAGTACTGGGTTGCCTAGTTAAACAAAGGATGGAGTGACCTGAGAAGGTAAGGTGATCACTAAATATAATATTTAACTAGCATCATAATGGTTTAGGCCTAAGCGGGGGTAAAGTATGAGCACACCTGATATGGAAGCAAGTGCAAATACCAAGGAACTCCTTGATCACTAGGCTAGTCACACTTGATATAATCTCTACCTTTGATAAAATCAAGAAATGGCAGCCATATTTTGTTTCCATGGTAATTATCGACTTTTCATTAAGCATAGCCTGATAACAATTCCCGCCAATAAACACAAGAGCAAAGCTCTACCGTTCTGATACAAATCTATGAGAACAACTACCAATAAGTACTTAACTTGAATACAACAGACTGCATAAATAAGGAATTTTCCTAGCTTCTTTCTGAAACACATGATTACCCAACGCATAAAATTTGAAGTCTTCTGTCAATTGACTCACCACTACACTTATATCCCGCCGACTTCCTTGGAAAATTCTAGAGAAACATTCCTTCCAAATAGTACAAATTCACCAACACCAGACAACCCCAAGAAAAACTCCTCTACTTCCATCGCTCTTTACAATATTGCTTGTCCTCTTAAGAAGGGCTTCCCACAAGCTTGGCCAGTGAGCTAAGCCAAATACTACTGTTAAAACATGAAGAGAAAAAGTGCAGTTGCAGAATAGATGAGATCTGGTTTCTCCTAAGCTTGGCATAACACACACAACGAGTCAGTAATCTTTCCCCATTGCTTGAGCTTGTCTCTTGTGACAATCCTATTCAGTATAATTAACCAAACGACCACACGATGTCTAGGAATCACAAATTTGTTCCATATTACCTTCCACCAATCGACCTTGGGCTTCCTCAGACAAATTGATGTCCATACTGCTGTACAGAGAATCTAGACATTAGTCTCCCTTCCCAAGATACCTCACCATCTACAGTGACAGTAAAACGAAAATGGAACCACCCTCTAGAAGCAAGGAGCTTTCTCCAAATCCAAGAGTCTGTATGAGAGGGAGAAATGTCCCAGATACTTCTCCGTTTCAGCTTGTGCTGCAAAATCCATGCCACCCAAAAACTACCACTCTTCATTAAAATAAGCCACAAAAGCCTTGCTACAAAGGCCATGTTCCAGCTGCCTAGATCCTTATTTCCCATGCCTCCTTCATTCTTGGAGAGAGCTACAAATTCGCAAGCAACCTTGGCACGCCTTGATCCCTCACCTAACCAAAGAAAGTCGTAACATATCTTGTGAATCTGATCCAATATCTTCTTCGGCAAGATGAAAATGTTCATCCAGAATTGAACAAATGAATAAAGGACAGATGATATTAGTTGTAACTTTCCTCTATAAGAGAGTTTGTTTGCATGCCAAGAGCGGATTCTACTTGTTAGCTTATCCACCAGAACTGCACACTCTCGACTAGATAGCTTCCCTGCAACCACTGGCAAGCCAAGATATCTAACAAGCAGCTTACCTTCAGTAAATCTAGAAAGAGTAATCGCATTGGCTTTGAATCGATGTGCTATTCAAACATACCTGATAGTGATTCCAGAGCTAAGGTAAAGAGGTAGGGGGAGAGGGGGTCGTCCTGTCTAACTCCTTTCTTAGTTTGGAAGAAACCAAACAATGATCCATATAGACTTATGCTGAAGTAAGCTGAGCTAAGACATACGTTTATCCATTCCATGAATTCTACTGGAAAATTCATCAACCTCATCACACTGAATAAGTACTCTCTGTTTACTGAATCAAATGCTTTGTGTAAGTCTATCTTAATAGCACAACGAGAAGCTACAATATTTTTGTTATAATTCTGCACTATCTCTTGAGCCATAAGAATATTATCCAGGATACTCCTTCCCTTAACGAAAGCAGATTGATTCCTACTTATCACCTCAGGTAGAGCAAGCTGAATTCTATTGGCTAACACCTTAGCTATGATCTTGTATAACACATTAATACATGCAATAGGTCTAAAAGTTGTCAACCTATCTACATTCAGAGTTTTTGGTGCAAGAGTGAGAGAGGCAGTGTTTATACCTCAAGGGAGTTGCTTGGTTCTGAAAAATTCCTTCACCCCCTCACAAATATCAACGCCAATTATTCCCTAGTGCTTTTGATAGAAGCATGTTGTCCATCCATCAGGGCCAGGTGCCTTAAGGATCCATAGAGAAAAGAGCAGTTCTTATTTCCTCATTTGTTACCTCTGCACATAGCTTTTGTTGACTAGAGGGAAGCCAGATTTAATCAATAAATGTCCTTTGTATTTGGGGCATGAAGAGTCCATGGACCACATTTACTTTGAATGACCATTTATGCAGGAGGTGCTTCAAGTTGTCTTCCCTGCAAGTCGGAACTATCTGCCTCGGGCAGGGTGAGATGATTGCTTGCAAGAATCAGTGGGTAAGTTACAGAGGTGTTGTGTAGGGAGGTTGCTTTCGAATTTAATTGGGTTAATACCTTATTTTGGCCCGAACTATGACCATATAATCAACTTTAGTCCGTGGTTTCAGAAATTAACATCTTGGCCTCAACTATGCAGCATATAGACTCAATTGGCCTGACACATGGTTTGACCGTCAATTTGGATGGTCAACACGCCATGTCATTGCCTCGTCAGCCTAAAAATTATTAAAAAAAAATCAAAATCAAATTATTTTCCTAATTTCTATTATTTATAATCAAATTAACAGAAAAGAATTTATAAAAAACATAGGGGTGATGGATTTTTTTGCAAAATTTTGGATAATATGAGAATATAAGTGATAATCGTTTTGCATGATGTTGTGATTGGATAATATGCAAATGTCAAAAAAAAAAGAGAAATGAATATTGATTTTCGCAAAGAAGAAATAACTCCCAAGTCGAGTTGTTCAACGAGGTCCACAATAAAATCTTGCTCACAATATGAAGACAAACAACCTCCAAACTAGATCACAGATTCAACGAATCTTCCTATTGAAAACACATGAAGATTCAAATGATAAAACTGATTCAATCCCATGCCTATATGTCAAAATTCTCTTTGAATAACATTTGGCTTGGATAAAAGGATACATAAAATCTAGCTGTCACTGATAGTGGAGAAGCTAAGATTCTCTGGCGTTTTGTTGGTTGATGGTATGCAGTGGCTATCACAATCCTTCCTCAATCCAGGCGCTCCATCTATGACAAGTGAAGTAAGTGAGTAAATTTCAAACGTTTTGATGATTATCCCGAGGACAAGACTGCAGGGAAGTATAGAATAAAAGAAAGCTGTTGAAAAACTTCAAGACAATCTATCTACCTTCCAAAGACCATCATTCAGGTAATGGATGTTGTCCACTCCGATACCCTTGTTGATTGACCGTCTACAAAACAAGCATACAACTTAAAGAGTATGAGATGCACAGCAAAAATCACCTACAACACTATCTATGCCCAAGAGGGTTATGTCCTACAAGCCACACCATATTCACATTTCTCTACACGACAATTGTTAAGAAGGATTTGCAGGGAGGATGGTAGTTCTGTTTGTTACGAACATTCATTCATAGTGAAAGTAGTTTTCTATCCGAGAAGCTAATATTACAACCAGCAGCTTTGATAGCCGGAACATAATGGAGCCATGTTTCAACTAAGAAAGTATCACAATGCCTTGAACAATAATAACTTACATGTCCTTTGCTGACATTTTCGTGAAGCCGATAGCAAGAGCATGCTGCTTTCCTTCAGCCATTATAGCCTGAGACATTCCTTTTTTGTTAACTAAAGATGAAAGAATGCTAATATGCGTTCAAATAAAGCCCAATGACCAATGAAATGTCAAAAGTAAAACTCTATCCTACCACAGGAGTTTCAGCTTCCACTTCATCATCCAAAATGCCACCCGGAGACGTGAGTCCAGGACACATTATGTTTGCACCAGAAAGAACAAATCTAATGGCACCCCTGTCTACCTGCAGCTTTTTCATGATCTCAGGATCTGTACAAAGGCAAGCAAGCACAATAATCAAAACATGGGACTGAAAGGGGGAAAAAAAACCACAAGTCAAAATAGAGGAACATTTTGCAAGGAAGGCCGACAAGAAAAGATAATGAGATATATAACATTCAGACCCAGTAACAAGTAACTTAACACAATCAGTTCAAGAAGTTCAGTGACAATACGACTCATAGAAAAGAGAAAGAGTGCTGCATAAAAAATGAAGAAGCATGGAAACATAAGTAACCACCATGTACACTACTTGAAATGGACAACAATTCAGCTCTCATATGCATGCTAGACATGGTAGTAACGGCCATTCCTTCCAACTATGATAAATTCTCTCAAGAAAATTATGAGCAATCGTCACGATAAAGAACTCACATTGATGGAGTAGTCTCAAGGTAGGCATGTAAGGCCCATCTCTGATGTTGAAAAACAACGGAACATTGTTCACTACTACCAAGTTCAGATGATTTTGGCTGCATCAAAACGAAACCACCATTTCATCAACAAGAACGAACAAATATGAAACCTAAGAGAGATAAATCATAGAATTTACAACAGACCATTTGGCAACAGTTAGAGGAGACTTCTTGGGGAGCAAATCCTCCATCACTGCTTCCAGACCCGGGTACTGCACTACAACCAAAATTTCGTCTGTCATCAAATTCAATTAGTGAACTTTCTCCCTCTCTTCACTCCCATTAAAAAAACCCTAAATTCGACATGGAAAAGTGAAATGGAAACACCAACTATTAACTTGCAGACAAAAATGGGAAAAAGGAGAAGTTCGAGAAATTCCAACCTCTTCCGCAATACTCTGCCGAATTCTCCTCTGAACAGAAGCCTTCACTTGGTTCTGCCCAGATACTTCTTCGCCAGAGAACCTAGAAACCACAAATCAATTTCATAAGCACCGGAAGCAGAGGGGGGTGGAGAAAATGGTATCGCTGATTCGGGGGAGCTAGGGAACTTACTTCTTGAACATTTTTGCTGTTGAATCGGAAGAATCGAAGATTGGAAGAAAGCTAGGTTTTCTGGCGAGGGTTTTGGATCGATCGGAAAAAGCTCCGAAGTTCAGCTTCCCGAGTGATTCAGTTGCAGAGTGGAATTTGCGGAGAGGTGGAAGAAAATGTTCACGTCGGCGAAGAGGCGCAGGTTTAGTCGTGCGTTCGTTGTAAGCCGCGGTCGAGGGAAATTCGTGGGCCTAGAAAGGGTCCTTGTTTGGGCTAGACTGGGAACTCTAAACCTAATGGGCCGATATTCAACAATTGGGCTCGTGTTGTTGGAAGTTTACAGGCGGTTAATGGCTAAATTGCAAGTTTGGTCACTCAATTTACTTGTAAAGTTCACGTTAGCCACTGGAATTACTTTTTATAAGTAGTCACTTAAATTGGATTAACAGTCCAAGTTTGGTCACTGGCCGACGGCCGTTAGTCTCCGTTAACTTTTGCTGATGTGGCGGTCAACTCTAATAGTTGACCGTTAAATGAGTGACGTGACAATTAAAAAATTAATAAAATTTAAAAATTTATAATTTTCAACTCATTTTACACCCATTGAAAAAAAAAGTCCGATCAACTTTTTTTTGCCCTTCCCTCCTTTCCCTTTCCTCTGCCCATGGACGAAATGAATCGCCAATTCACAAATTCATCGCAGAACAAACAACAACAATTTAAAATCTTCTTCACCTGCGACTTCTACTCCGATTCATCGCGGAACCAACCCCAACAGAGACACACCCACCTCTACTCGCCCCGATTCGTTCGGAATCCTCGTGGCGTTGCGGGAGATCAGAACCGACGACGGTGGCTGCGGAGGCTTAACCACGTCGCATCACCGGCCACCACTTGTACCAGAAAACCTCTCTCTCCTCTCCTCCCTCCTCCTCCACCGACTCTCCCTTATCGAATTCGTGCTCCTCTCCATCGACGGATCCAAGACTTAGTAGAGCACTAGGCCGCATTTGAATAGAAAATTATATATCATAAACAAATTAACTACAACCTAACATCATAATCGACAACCATCATCACAAATTAAAAATTAAGATCCTTCATAAAACTGATCGACAACTAGAAAGGAGCATGGCATGAGAAGACAAACCCAAAATCAAGATATTGGAAGAGCATCATCACCACCATCGATCAACCTGACCACCGCTATGCCGTGCCGTCTATCAGGCGCTGGCCGAGATCACTTGAATCCAACCTCTCTCCCTTTCACCAAAATCGAGTTCTAATTGTCGTCTCTTTCTACAGCCAGTCAACATTTGTACTCTAAATACTGATTCCAATTGCAGTTGTGGATGAGGATCACTACGCTTCATTACCCTAGCTCTCCAAATTTCAATAGCATAACTCCATGAAAATTTTAATTTATGAATGTATCAGTACACTTTGGTTTTTTTAGAATGAGCAAGAACCATAATATTCCAAATACAATACCAGAAACTACCATCTAATTGCTCCATAATGCTACCTATTAAGGTGATGATGTCCTCAGCTTCTTCAAAAAATCAATACACTCATTGGTGATAATTGAAAACCAATCGCAAATATTGGATTCAATGACAAGCAGGAATCAACACGTAAGGAACCAAACAATTTGGATTTGCCAAATCAAACAAAACCCCGAGAGAAAAGATGAGTAGCACGATGATGTTGATGGGGTGAGAAAGAAGAAATAAGACGTGTCCGGAAAAATGAATCGATGATGAAGAGAAGATGAGTAGCACGATGATGAGGTGTTGTTCGGGGGATAACAAAAGTGGTGGAAGCAGAAATATTTAGGGAAAAGGGGATATGCAGAGTGCGTATGTGTACCTGTGTAAGGGAATTGGAAATCGATAAATGGAAAATAAATTGACTAAAGGAGAAGACTGAAGAGGGGGAAAAGCAGAGGAAGTGCGGTCATTACAAGTTTGGCATTTGGTGGGCGGACTAGAGGGGCTGGGCCATGTCCAATTAATAAGGGGTCAGAAGAGGTGGAGAATGCTCCATACAAGCTTTGGACCCAAGGGGGGGGCTGGGCCCTGGCCCAGGGTGGCCCTCCCCCAGATCCGCCGCTGCTCCTCTCGCCTCAACCCCTGCATTCCCAAGCCGCCACTAGATAGGTTACCATCGTCTTCCTCCTTCTCCTCCTCCAAGCACCAGCACCCGCAAACGGCGCCGTGAAGGAAAGCCTAATCTTGGTTCCATCGAGGAGGTAAAAATCTTCCTCCTGCATCATGACTTTTGCGAATGGCTGAGTCCAGAATCCCTTGAATTGGATTGCATTCACGAGGAATCGACGATCATTACTAGTTCTTTCCTGATCTTGTCAGTCCCAATGATACCTTTTTATGTGCCCTTTCGTAGCTCTGTCTGCCCACTGGTTTATCTCCTCTACAATTCTCAGAGCCTAACAAAATGAACAAATTGATTATTCTCCATAAGGCAATCTTCTCTTTGTCCTCCTAAGGGATCAAGCATTTTCATAGTCCTCTATATCATTCCAGTTTTGTTGGATGTCGAATAATTCTTTTCACAGTCCTTATATATTAGAATGGGTTATCAACTCTGTTTCTTCTCTAAGAAAAGCTTCTGGTCTATTAGACAAAGAAACTAAACGAAGAACACATAGCACAGCTACTGGTCTATATATGAATCGGCGATGAAAGTTGCGGGTTTCAAAGTGAGTGTGCAGGGAGAGTTTTCAAGGAGACTTTAGAGTTTTTGAAACGTGCTTGGCAGAAGAAAAGTAACAGTGACGACAATTTTGGGGAGGAAGACATGGTCGGAGATGACGACCTCGACGGAGAAGAATCATCCTCCGCCGTTGCCGCTTGTGATATTTTTTGTTTTAATTATTTTTAATTTATTGTAATAATGAGGTGGAAATTATTAAAAATTAAATTTTTTTATTTAACGGTCAACTATAAGAGTTGACCACCACATCAACAAAAGTTAACGGAGACTAACGGCAGTGACCAAACTTGAAATGTTAACCTAATTTAAGTGACTACGGATGAAATAAAGTAACTCTAGTGGCTAACGTAAACTTTATTAGTAACTCAAGTGACTAAACTTGCAATTTAGCCAGCGGTTAATAGTTTCTTTCTTTGGTCGTTTGGATGCAAGATTTATCAGTAATATTTAAACAATCTCTCATTATATAAGATTTTATAACAATCCTGCTTTTGGAAAGGACGAGAATTTTTTAATGAGTGATTTTAAAAATCCACCTTCATGAATTTTTGAAACAGATGATGTCATAAGCTATTTCACAATCGCTTGTTCTTATTTCATCATCTCCAAACCTTGCCCCTCAACTATCTCCTTTGTGCTTCTCCCTTCCTCCTTTTTCCTTCTTCACCTCCATCCCAATTCATCCCGCATTCGATGTCGACTTCTCCCTTCTGTCACCATAAGTGCATCCATCTCTCACCTGGTCGCTGCACCCTCCTCTCCCACTCCGCTGCGTCGCCGAAGATCTGGGTTACGATGTGGAGCCGATGTCGATTCTAGGTTTGAAAACCCCCCAAATCGACCGCCATTGGGGAACTCTCTACTTCTGGGTTCCATGGTGGCAGGTCCGACGATGGCTTCTCCCAACAATCATCGTCACCAAAAAGCCCGTGATGAACATGAAGATGAAGGGTTATTCTGGGTGCTGGGTTTCGACGATGGAGAAAAAGGACGAAGAAAGAAGGTGATGAGTATGGTGGCCGACTTTGCTTTTGGTCGATCACTCCTGCTCCTTGTTTGTGGTCTCCGTCTTCCTATGCTCTTGGCTTTGCTAAGTTTTGGGTTCTACAATTTGGGGAAGAAGTAGTAGAAGATATGTTTTGTGTTAACAGATGAGAGGAGAAGAGGAAGAAGATAGGTAGAAGATGAGGATATGTAACTTGATTTTTCTATTAAAATGTTATGTTCACATCAAAACAAGTGATTTATTAAAATTTCTCATTACAAACCTAGGTTTTTAAACTGTGGGATTGTGGGAAAATCCCAGGTTTAAGAAAATCCTCATTCAAATGACTCCTTAATGTAATTCATTTAATCTATCACATTCAATATGCTGCTTCTAGAATCTGGCTGTCAAACATTCATACAAAATCTAGATTGAGTGGAAAAAATGCAGATGGAGGTTGATATAATGGAGGAGGAATTTAGGAGGCTAGTAGAGGAGATCGACGATGTGGAGTGGAGATTTTGGAGAAGGAAGGGAAATGAATCGACACATATGATGGCTAGGCTGAAATATATATGGGAAGAGTATGAGATTTGGCTTACAAGGCCACCTATTTTTCTATTTTCTCAATTGTTCGCGGATTGTAAGGAGACAATCGTTGGTTAGTTGAAAATTCAGGATTTTCTGTGAAAAAGGTTACAGAGTGACTCTTGAAGTACAATTTCATTTATTCTTACACTATGTATGAATTAGCTAATCCACCGTCCAGCTTGGAAGAATTTTAGGGATGACGATATAGGTACTTCTTTAGATTGTAATTATTATTATTATTATTATTATGTTATTAAAGATAAAACTACTGACAAATTAGGGTTACTGTTCATTATGATATTTTCATGGGATTTTTTAAATTGAGTTCTGCTACGGGCAACTCCACTTTCAGGTTTGTGCTTCCACGTAAACCCACTTTAGCTAAACATAATTTGGCCTTCCCCATTCATTTGACGTTGAGATTCTTCCTTTCCTTTCTGAGCACTAACTCATTGAGCGCCACCATGCCTTCCCTTTTCCTTCCAGATCATCCATTGTCGCCGCCTTGATGGACCACTCGATAGTTTCAACAGCGAAGTGACCTGCTTGGCACCCTTAATGTCTTTTGATGCCCTTGTTGATCAGGTGCCAGTGTTGACACCTAAGAGGCCTACCATACTCGAAGTCCTCGTGCCTTAATGTTAGGAGATTGATGATGACCACTTGATAGCAAGTAAGGTTATGGCGCACCCATAGGTGGAGCATAAAGGGGGTTGCCTTTGTTACATGACACATGTAAGTTTTGGTAAAAAAAAAATCCTTAAATATGCTCATGAAAGGGATCAAACTAGCTATCTTGAAATGACATAAAGATATTTTGCCACTACACTAAAACTCACTTCATGTTATTTGAATACCATAACATTTATTTATTATACAAAAAAATAAAGTAACATTCAGAATA